TAAAAACTCTGCTGTGGACAGGGTCAATCAAATTTATTACCCATATTAGCAAAGTAGGTGAGGCTGTCCTAAGCAGACTTTATAATAACAGGTGCTGAAGTTGATTTATCAATATTAGCTAGACATTTGGGGTTTGGGTAGGAAGTAGGGATGTGGGTGAGGAAGCATAGTCAATCCCCGTTTTCCTCATAGTTATATATCCCAAGACAAATACATTTTAATTTCAACAGAAAAGGGATTTTGCAAAGCAGTTTTAACAGACAAAAATGCTTGTGCCATGTTTTGTGGATGTTACAGATATTACAATTAAAAAAAACCCAACAAAAAAACCACACAGCCTTTTTTGGTCAGAAGACTCCACATCTCTTTTGCAAGACAGAAGGAATAGATTTCCTTCCCCCCACCCCCAAAAATAGCAAACCAAAAAGTAAAACTAACATGATGGAAAAGCATTCTGAAACAATTTTTTGGAATGATATACCAGTGGTTAATAAGCAGCAGTTTGAGGTCTCATTGCCTTGCCTTTACATAGGACAAAGAGAGGGGGAAAAAAAATGAAGTCTTCTTACACTGCAGTACCTAGGTTTAATCTAAAATCATTATATTCAGCCATGTTGTGGTTCATAGAGAACATGGTATATATTTACTTCCTGATGCATGCAAGAAACTTGAATACATTAATTCAAGTTTTAAGTATTGCTCACAACAAGAACAGACCCGCTTGGATGTTTTTCAGTTTGGGTTCATGCCTTGTCCCCCTGACATATGATATAATTCAGTCCTTGTCTTAGCACTATTTCCTTAGGAATGCAGATACAGTTTGAGCGTTACCATATGGTAGAGCTGGGGGACCGAAAGGGGGAACTGCCGTAACATTCTTAAACTTAGCAACTTTCTTGAAAATCAGAAATAGGGATGACCTTGTTTCAAAAATGTGTTCTATCAGCTCAGTGATGCAATTTGGCAGTCAGTCAATTACAACTTCTTTAAGATAAATGCATGCAATTCAGAGAAGTCACACCATACTTTCCTTGCACAGGAAAAGGGCAAGTCAGCAGGAGTATAGTGACTTGTGTGTCAAATTCCGCTTCCTTCACAAAACTCCCTGCAATATACCCATTTGGTTCTTCAAAACCAGTCTACTGGGCTTAGGCACAGAGAAGATACTGCCAATAACAAAAGACTGTCTTAGTTTAGAAAAACTATAAGTCATGCTTGATTATTAAAAGGCAAACACTAGATTTAAAATACATATATGTGTGTGTACAATATATATATATATATGCCAGATCATCTGTCATATATCTCCCACTAAAAAGAAAGCACAATATGATGGATCATCATTAGGCAACTATTTTTGTATATGTTGATGTAACACAAAAGCTAGGACAAAAGCATTTGTAAGCATGAGTTACAAAATGTATATTGCTAGGCTCCCAAATTAGAAGAGACAGAACCTGAACTACCCGCTATTTTTACTTGCTAGGTCACTAACTCCATTTCAGGCTTGATCTTGCCACAATGAAATCCATGGAAATATTGCCATGAAGTTCTGTGGGAGAACTATTGTCTCAACAGTGAAATGAGCAGCATCTCTCTTTTAGTGTTTTAAGTATTGATGAAATCACTATTTGTAGCAGGGTAACAGAGTACTAAGCAAATGTGTTGGCAACAAGAAAAGTTACTCTGTTTTAGACTATAATTTGAAAGTTAAATCTTTGCTCTTATCTTGTTATGAATTTTGGATCTTAAAAGTATACACTTTCCAGAAGCATGGCATTAATGTTACTGCATCATTTTAAGTAACTGGATGATGGGGATATGGTTCAACTTATCAGCTGCATATAATTCTACAAGTTTTTTGTGATCTGTGCCACCCGTTTCTGTATTTTTATTAAACTGATGAAATTATATGCATGTGCAATGCTGTTAGGGAAAGTACAGACATCCAGACTCCTGGGAGAAACTGTCCTGAGAACGATTTAAACCTGGTTGTTCCCAGGTTATTTTTTTCCCGGATCAGCCATTTTTGCTCCAGGAGCAAAAGCCCAAACGTCAGTGTGCAGACATTTAGTTTCTACTGGGAGAACTGTAATCCTCCTGAGGCTAAGTATAGACATTAAAAAAGCCCAAGGCAGAATCAAGTCAATCTATGTGAGTTTCTCTAAAATGTGTAGTTTGGATTGGGAGTGAACAAAACTCGCATCTACCCTTCAAATGGGGAAAGCAGGTATTTGCCTTGCAATGGCAAAGGCCAGAAGGTAGGGGGTGCTTCCACACACCTCCCAGCCTGGTGAACACTGCCAAGGGCAGCCAACCATAGCTGAACAGGGGCCATCCCTGATTGGCTATCCAGCACATGCCCCCAAAACCTTGCTGTCAACCTCAGGGAGGAGAGAGCCAGCACAGAATCTGGGCAGCAGGGGGAAAGTGAGAGAGAGAGAAAGCAGAGACTCCTGCCACATGGCTCCCCTCCACCCCCACCAACACCCAGCCAGAACAGCTGCAGGAAACTGCATGGCCAGGGCTTTCTCCCATTGCTGTCCTTGCCTGCTTGGTCTGACCAGCTGGCTAGGAAGCATAGCCCCTTCCCCATGAAAGTTGATGCCTCCAAGTGGTGTGAGGGAATTGAATCCTTCCCCTGCTCCCCTTCCTTGTCCCCCCAACTCCACAGCCTGCATTTTCCTGCCCTCCCCTCCCCCACCTGACAAGTGCAGGCAGGACATAGGACTGGGGGTGTAGTGGCTTTGCTGCCTCAGCTCTGTGGCAGCTTGGGGGCAGGGCTGGCCCAGCTCAGCCAGAGCAGATGAGTGCAAGCAGAGGCTTGCCTGCCTGCTCACCCTGCAAGGGAGGGGGGTGAGAGGTTAGCAGGCCACAATGCATCCTGAGATGCCAGGGGAATTCAACCCGAGTCAGGAGGGGATCTAGGACAGAAGTTCAATAGACTGGTCTGATTAAATCTGAGACTACATCCATCCACAACTATCATAAACCAGGTTCCATCATTTTTAAACCAGTCTACATGCACTAAGCTTCTGTCCTGTTACAGATTTAGACCATTTTCCAATCACTTATACCAGTTTGTGTGTAATTTCTATACTGAGCCTGAATGTCTCTATGTTAGATAAATTACCTAGCATAGCCTAAGTAGCCTTAGAATACTTTTCCAACTGATGTAAGGTCTGTGGTACCACTTTCAACTGATGTTGATGCATTTGGAAAGTATAAGTTGCAGACAGGTGGATGTAAAGTTTATGTTCTTAAATAGGGTGCTTGTGATTCTGCAAAGTATGGCCACAAAAATACTGGGTATGTGAATGTCTCTTGGCTGATTATCTGAGGTATGCCAGAGGCATGGAACAGGTTGATATTGCACAGAGTGAGTTCATCAATACACGATGCTGTTCTTTAATAGGATTCACAAATTCCAACAATGGAGTGACAATGTCATGGCAATACAAAATCCACTTTTACATTTTGAAAGATAAAGCCTTCTTCAATTACAACAGTCCTTACTACCCAAACACTTATTTTTTTTTGTTCTTGTGTGAAGGATTACTATATACACCTGGTGATTATTTGAATGTGCACCCAAACGTCTAGAGCTATAAGCTGTGTGAAACGGTACTTTTGAGGAGTATTACATTAAAGGCTTCAACTCTTACAACATGTAAGGAAGTGCCATTTCTGGCCCTTTTGGCTTCTTTGCAACACTTCCTAAGAATTAGAGGATATTTCACTGAGGTGCACTAAATCTTGCACAGAAATATGTAATCAAGTCATGGGTTAGGCAACTTATTGGTGAACTTGCTAGTCGAAATGCTATTCATTGCTCCAATCTTTATTTTGTGGAAAGGGCCCACATTGGTCACTTAAATGAAGCACATGGCAACATTTTCTAGATCTGTACAGTGTGCCACAATACAATTTAAAATATCCATCTTACAAAAAGAAAACACGTCTAAGAGCTTAGGAAGGTTACTATACTACACATTTACAATTTAAATGTTTTCTCCTATTTTTTCTTTCTTTCTTGTCTATTTAGATTGTAAGCTCTTTGGGGCACGGACAATCTCACTTTGTGTTTGCAGGGTAACTAGTGCAATGGGGGATGGGGCTAATTGTGGTTGTCACTAAATCGTACTAACAGTGTTTGAGGTGGTTCTCTTAAAGTGCTCTGTCAACCTGAGCACCTGTTGAAAAAGGTCAGTAGTTTTTTAGCAGGAAATTCTTAAGGGGGGGAAAAAAACCCTTTTCCCTTTAAAAGAAAATTGCTGCAAAATGTGCATGGCATTCTTATGAAAAACCAACACTGAAAACCAGAAAAAAAATCTAATGCCTCCTTTTCATTTCTGCTTTTTCCAGTGTCCAAAATAGGTGGGAAGAAGGGGGGAGGGGGGGAGGAAA